TAGTAGTACTAATAATAGTAGTACTGATAATAATAATCACCATGCTACTACGACCATGGACCGCATGAATGTGCACCCCAAGCTGATCAAAGCGGTGCAGAGCATTTACCGCGTCACGCAGTTCAAGGTCGAAATGGAAGGAGCGGAATCGTCGTGGTACGAACAACAGTGCGGTATAAGACAAGGCTGTCCTTTGTCGCCATACTTGTTTTTGTTGGTCATGACCGCTCTTTTCCATGATGTCCAGAAAAACGTGGACCGCCAGCTCGGCCCGCACCGTCTGCCAGGCGTGAGCTTTGACGCTGTTTTGTACGCCGATGATACCATCTGTATATCGCAAAGCACCAAAGCAATGAACGCGCTGTTAAAGTCAATTGAAGAAGAAAGTTCCAAGTATGGCCTTCGACTCAACACAACCAAGTGTGAAGTTATCCACACCGGGCATTCCCACCCAAATATCCATTTCGCTAACGGGGACCCTGTGGAAGTCAAAGCGGAAGTCAAATACCTTGGATGCATGCTTAATAATAAGAGCGACACTACCAAAGAAGTCAATGCTCGCATCTCTCAAGTTCTCGCTACGATGAAAAAGCTCAACACTTTCTGGTTGCACAGCGACTGCCCCACTCGCTTTAAAATCCTCGCTTTCGACGCGACAATCCGGTCTAAGCTCCTGTACGGACTGGCCACAGCACAGCTCACGCAAGCAACGATCAAACGGATCGACACAGTGCAGCTGAAAGGACTCCGCAAAATCCTGCACATGACAACGACATACGTCAACCGAGCAAACACGAATGTTCTCGTTTTCGAAAGGGCGAACCAGAGTATTCAAGCTGCAGGAGCAACCAAACCAGTGACTCCGTTCAGCCAAATGTACCACCAACAAAAGCTGAAACTGTATCAAAACCTCTTGAACGCCGATCCCTCGGACCCAGTCCGGCAAGCAACCATGAGAGCCGACACGCTAGAGTTTCTACGATTCGAGAAAAACCGGGTGGGGCGACCTCGGTTGAAGTGGACGAAAGAAACTGCTGAGGAATACTGGATAGCGACAACCGCCCACCGACCCCCTGCCCTCCGGAACATTGCTCTAGATCTTTCTCTCGCCACACATCGAGAAGCCTTGTTAGAAGTAGCTCAAACATCGCCCTTATAAAATTATGATTGATTGTCAGACCGGTGCAATCCGTGGATTCTCTCTTCCCTCCCCTTCCCCTCCCCTTCCTCTCCCCCCTCCTCCCCCTCCCCACTCAGCCCGGCACGCTCGGCGCAGCGTGCGCGCCGCGCGTCGCTCCGAGGCGCGGAGCGGCCAGGGAGGCCCCGAGGCCCCGCCGGGGGCATGGGACGAGGAATACTACTACGAATAATAATAATAATACTCATAATAATAGTATTATTAATAATAATAGTATTACTACTAATACTATTACTTATAACAAACAAAATAATAATATTAATAATAACAACAAAAATAATACTAATACTACTAATAATAATAGTACTAATAATACTAATAATGATATTACTAATAACACTCATAATACTACTAATAATAATACTAATAATGCTAATGATAATACTACTACTAATAATACTATTAATACTAATATTATTATTAATAATAATATTATTAATAATATCAATAATAGTACTAATAGTAATTCTAATAATACTACTAATAATACTCATACTACTACTACTACTACTACTACTACTACTACTACTACTACTACTACTACTACTACTACTACTACTACTACTACTACTAATAGTAATAATACTATTATTAATAATGATACTACTAATAATACTACTACTACTAATAATATTAATCATCATCATCATCATCATCATCATCATCATCATCATCATCAACATCATCATCATCATCATCATCATTCTATGAAGAAGAGGGGAGGAGGGGGAGGAGGAGGAGGCGGAGGAGGAGCGGAACCCTCTTTGGAACCCTCTGGGAAGAGGAGCGGCGGAGGGACCCGCCTCGCACAGGGCCCGACCACCTACGAGACGCAGCGGGCGGCCCCCGGGGGCGCGCGCGGCCCCGCCCTGCCCCTCGCCGCCCGCCGCGCGCCGCGGCGGCGTGGGCGGCCCTCTTTCGCTCGAGTTGTGGCGAAGCGTCCTGGCCTGCCTGTGGGCCCACCAACGACCATCGGGTTTTAGTTCTCAGAACAACTTCGCATCGCTCGGACGTGTGCGGTTTTCCTCGGCGAGGACCATCGTGGATCATTGTGGGTCTTCTTGCGAACAAAAATGCACGACCGCAGAATGCACGGGGAATGGACGCCCGAGCGATTGCAAGACAATGTTCTTGTTCTTAGGACGTTTTTTGGCTCTGAGAGCATGTCGTGGTATGCCTTTGGGAATGCTGGGACGGTCGGTCCCTGCTCGATTCTCTCAGCTCGCCGCCGAGGGCCGCCGAGGCCCACCAGAGACTGTTCTCGGAACCTTTTGTCGGGACCTCGCAAAGGAGGGGGGTGCCACAGGGGGGCGAGTTCGGCATGTTGGCGCGGAACAACGATGCAAAACGAAGTCTCCGGCCGCCGCCGGAACCCCAGAGGTGTCGACAGTCGTGGCGCGCGGGGGGTATCGCTTTTCGGAAATTCGATGCACTAGCGGATCGAACTCTCCGCCCCCCCTCAGAGTCCCCCCCCCCTCTGGTGGGCCCCGATGTTGTGGTCTTCACGAAATGTTCTTAGAACGTGTTTTGGCTGTGACGGTCCTGTTTTAGCACATCGGGTTGTGCTAAGAACAATGTTCCTATTTTTAGAACAGCTTGGATTACGAGCATAGCGTGATAGGCCCGTAGGAATGCTGGGACGGCCGCCGATGGGTCGCCGGTGAGCCGATGGGTGGAGCTTCTTTCGGGGCATGCAGTCAAGTCTCGGAGGCGACGATAGCAGCTAACAGAGCTCTGGGGCGTGGACTACATGTATTCGGCGGGCAGCCTCGCCAAAAGCATGGAGTTTCCCCTGCATACATGTATTGCTCTCCCCTGGACTGTTCCCCCCCATCGTCGCCCCCGAAAGTCGCACAGTAAGGAGTAAGGATGAGTAATTATCCAAGGCTACCCTTGCACCCTTGTCCCTTCGGCCCATCTTTGGCGACTTTTGCTGACATGTCCCTCCAAGGCCCTTGCATCCTTGTCGCGTATCCTTACTCTGCGACTCGACTTTACAGTCAGTTCGTGGCAATAAGGTCCAGTTCGAGGTCGGAAGGGGCTCGGTGGTTCCTTAGGTTTGCACGCGTTCCGTTGCTCTTTTTGGTGGTGAGCCGCTTCGGTGTTCTTTCAGCTTCACGGCCGTTCCTTGGGATCTCACGGCTCGGCTTGGAGAACGAGGAGCTTCGCTCCTCATTTATCTTTCCTTCTTCCGCAGCCCGACTCCACGAAAGGGGGGCTCACGAAGTGTGCTGCGCGAAGATGGTGTCAGATTCGCCGCCGCGCCCACTTCTCGATACGCTGGCCCTTGGCGCCTTGGCGCCTCCAGCGCTGGGAGGCGCCGGGAAAAGCAGCTACGTGAGCTGCTTCGTTACCCCGTCCTTTGCTGACCACTCCTTGCGTCAGAACCGATGGCTTGGCGTTTTCCTGCTGGGGGGCGGCCTCCCCTCTGCCCCCCCCTCTCTTCGTTCTCCTCGTCCGTCCTCGCCCTGCACCTCTTCCTCGATCTTTTCTCCTCCCTTCTCCAACCTCCTCCTCCGCAAATGCTCAATACGGATGCTACTCTCCCTTCTCCCTAGACTCTGTGCGGAAGATGTCTCGCCCTCTCCGCGTATGGTTTTTTTCTCGAGCTCCATTTCCACTCATTGCTGTTTCCGGTGCGTGTTATTTTCCAATCAGAACGATCTCGGAGTTTCAACATGGTGCTCCCGCTGCACCGTGCAGCGTGGGCATCATTTTAGGATCGGCGTTCTGTTCCCGTCGTTCAGAATTGGCGCTCCAGCCCCAGCGCGGGTCCACTTTTGTCTGGATCCGAGTCCCTCCTCCTCCTCCTCCTCCTCCTCCTGATCCTCCTCCCTCCCCCTCCTCCTGATCCCTCCTCCTGATCCCTCCTCCCTCCTCCTCCTTCCCTTCCCTCCTCCCTTCCCTCCTCCTGATCCCTTCACTCTCCCCTTCCCTCCTCCTGATCCTTCCGCCCTGGATCTTTCCGGCCAGCGTCAGAGAGGCACGTGAAGAACGTTGGCAGGCCGCGCGCGGACGGGACGGCACCACTGCGACGCGCTGCGTGCGCAGCGGCAGGCGGTATTGCCAATCTGACCCCGCTCTGGACGAGCGAAGTTTCCTGGCGGCAATTTGCCCGCACAGCGAAGCTTTCAGCATAGCGCCGCGCAGCCCAGTTGCATTGTATATGTAGTAGCGCTTGTTTCCCCAATCCTGTGTCCTACGCACCTCCGGGTGTATGACTTCTTGCTTGCTTCCTTGATCTTTCTGCTCCTCCTGCTTCCTCCACTCCCGCTCCTGCTGCTGCTTTTCTTCCTCGTCCTGCTCTTTCCTCATCCTCCTCCTTTTCCTCTTTTCCATCTTCCTGCTCATTCGCTATCTCCTCCAATGTACGCAGCTCCCTTGTCCGATTGCGCATGACACGATGTGGCCAGTTTTGGAGTTTCAGGTCCGCTATGGCCCACGCCGACGGACAGCGATGGGAAGGGGTAGGATGTCAGACATGGCGCGAGCGTGCCTAGCTTGTCTTCACCCCCTCTGCCCTCTGCCCCCCGGGGCTGATGTGCCCGCGTTGCGCCCCCCTCCGCCCCCCTCTTGGACGTCTCTTCCTCGCAGCCGTTCGCCGCCCTCGCCGCCTCCCCCCCCTCCGCTGCTCTGCCGCCCACGAGCGTGTGGATCTCACGGCGCTCCTCAGGATGGTTGCGGCAGCAAGCGCGGCCTACGGTGCAGCAGACGCAGCAACCGCGAACGTGTTTCGCCCTGCATGCCTGTCCCGTTCCCTTCCCCTGCCCCGCCAGGCGCGGTCCACGTCTGCGCTTGTGCCATGGTGTTCGACCGCTCCGTCGCCGTCATAGGCGCCTCTTCATCGATCCGCCCACGGCGGTGGCTGCACTCGGTGGGCGAGAGATTAGCAGCGAGGTTATGGTGATTGCGACGGCGATTTCGTTTGATGTTGATGTTCGCGACGACAATGACGATGATGATGACAGCGACGCCGACGACGACGGCGACGAACACGACGATGATGGTGCTGCTGCTGCTGCTGCTGATGATGATGATGATGATGATGATGGTGATGATCATGATGACGATGCTGATGATGATGATGATGATGATGATGATGATGATGGTGATGATGGTGATGATGACGATGACGATGGCGATGACGATGACGATGACTATGACCACCACGACGACGCCGACAACGACCACGACGATGACGATGATGATGCTGATGATGATGCTGCTGATGATGATGCTTATGACGATGGCGATGATGATACATATGGTGCTGATGATGGTGATGATGAGGAGGAGCAGGACGGACATGTCGACGATGCTGATGAGGATTGATGATGATGATGATGATGATGATGATGATGATGATGATGATGATGATGATGATGGTGGCGGTGCGATGCTGATTCTGACGATGGTGACGATGGTGATCGTGGTGATGATAGATGATGGGGTGATGACGATGACGATGACGATTCCGATGGCGATGATGATGCTGATGATGCTGATGATGATGATGCTGTTCATGATGTGGATGACGATGATGACGGTGAGGCTGATGACGCTGATGGTGGTGGTGCTGGTGATGGTGATATTGACGACGATGATGACGATGGTTGTGGTGGTGTTGATGATGATGGCGATAAAGATGATACATATGACGATGCTGCTGCTGCTGATGATGATGCTGATGATGATGATCATTGTGGTTGATGGTGAGGACGCTGATGATGTCCATGATGACGATGCTGCTGATGAGGAGGACGATGATGATGGTGGTGGTGGTGGTGATCATGATGCTGACGATGATGACGATGGTGATGGTGATGATGATGGTGAGGATGGTGATGACGATGACGACGGAGATGACGATGACGATGACAGATGATGATGACGATGATAATGATAATGATGATGCTGATGATGATGATGATGATGCTGATGATGGTGATGATGATGATGATTATGATGATGATGGTGATGATGACGATGATGATGATGCTGCTGCTGATGATGATGAGGCTGATGACGTTGACGTTAATGGTGATGGTGACGACGATGATGACGATGGTGGTGGTGGTGATGATGGTATGATGATGGTGTGGTTCTGATGATGGCAATCTAGTGCTATCGCCCATCCACTGAGGGGCTACTGCCATTTCGGATGCTGCTGGGAATGTGCGTGCAATCTTGCGCAATCGATGCTTCTGAGCCATCTGCTCGATGCTTACGCAGGTCTTGCCACTAGTTCCCGCCGCCAGCGAACTATACCCTTGCGTGTTACGGTGCCCACTCCAGCGCAGGGCGGGTCGTTGACTTGTTCGTGCTGACGAGCTGTCATTTGATCAGGTATGGTTCTCTCTGCTTCCTCGCGGTTCATGCCCTGAAAACATCGAGGGCAAAAGACACCCAGTTGCAATTGTTGCCCAGAAGTAGCGGGGGGGGAGGAGGGGGCAGAGGAGGAGAGGAAGGGGATGACACTGGCGAGCGAGTCGCCGTGAACGATCTCATCGGGGCCAGTGGCGGCCGAGAGAATCTACCCACAGCGAGAGCCCTCCTCGAGCCACCCAGAAGTGGCGATTCCTGTGGTGGGTCGCCTGCCCCCAGGCTGCGTAAGCCTTCATAAAACTTCTCGCGGAGATCCCAGCGCGGCGCGACCAAGGAGCTTCTTCTTTCTGTCGTGGCAGGCCTCCAGCTCGATCACGGCCACTTCCTGTTCGAGCACGGCCCTCGACTCTGGCACGCTGTGACGGTGGCGGCGGCCACGGCAATGGTGACGATGTCGACGGCGGTGATGACGAAGGTGACGACGAAAGGGGGCGATTCCACGGCCTGGGGTTGATGGTGCTCCGCGACTGAGCATCGCCACTGCAGGGGCACCTGCGGCGCCCTTGTGACCTCGGCGGCGGCGATGGCAATGGTGACGATACCGACGGCGGCGAGGCAGGTGACGACGAAGGGGGGCGATTCCACGGCCCAGGATCGACGGTGCTCCGTGCCGGAGCATCGCCACTGGTTACGTTGCATCTCCGGGGGACCTCGCCGGTCCCCCAAGTTGGTGCCCTCTCTTGTGCCCGATGCGGGCTCGATGCGGTCTCGACGCAGATTTGGCCTGGATGCGACGCGGATCCGACGCGGCCGACGCGAATTCGACGCGGACGGGGTCCGCGGCGGGACGGACGAGGTCCCACCCTCCTCCTTCTCTTCCTCCTCCTCCTCCTCCTCCTCCTCGGATCGATCGGGGTTTGTTCCCCAAGGCCTACAGCAGGGCCGAGCTCGTGAAGAAGTCTGGGGCCCACATGCGGCCTTAGTGGTGGTTGGATGGACTTCGTCCTGGCACTCCTGACTCCTGACTCCTCCTCCTCCTCCTCCTCCTCCTCCTCCTCCCTCCTCCTCCTCCTCCTCCTCCTCCTCCTCCTCCTCCTCCTCCTCCTCCTCCTCCTCCTCCTCCTCCTCCTCCTCCTCCCTCCTCCTCCTCCTCCTCCTCCCCTCCCCCTCCCCCTCCCCCTCCCTCCCCCTCCCCCTCCTCCCCCTCCCCCTCCTCCTCCTCCTCCTCCCTCCTCCTCCTCCTCCTCCTCCTCCTCCTCCTCCTCCTCTCCTCCTCCTCCTCCTCCCCCGAGAATGCAGCACAGCACTGGCGGGCAGCCGCCCCGCCCGCGCCCCGCCGCCGCGCGGCGCCGTGCTGCGCCGCCCGGGCCCCCCCCCGGGGCGCGGCCGGGCGAGGCGGGCGGGCCGTGCCGGCGTGGGCCGGGCTCGCGCTGTGGGCTCCGCGGGGGCCCGCTGCGCAGGGTGGCGGCGGCCTCGGCTCAGTGGCCTCGCCGCGTGGTGCATTTGGCCCCCTACCCACGCTGGAGTAGGGGATCGACTGCATGATCGATCTGCACGAAAGATTGTTTTCCCGTGGAATCTACGAAGAAATGCGTAGCATGTTCGTAGATGTGCGAACATTCTATTTCTGTTGTCGTAGATTCGACGAGAACTTCAAGTCTGGGGTACATCAAGTCTGTAGTCGACCTACTCGATAAACGGCACCACGCAGGGACAACACGACCGGCGGTGCTGTAGCACGTTCTCGCGGCTGGCACGCCAGTGAGAGCAGGGCTGTGCCGAAGGCTGGCATTGTGCATCGTGCTGGAATGTGCTTCGTATGGTTGGCCGAGGTAGCGGCAGATTGGGTTGGGCACCAACGGTACTTGTCCATGCTTCCTCCGCCGTTTGGCTCCAGCGCGCATCGTTCCCGTGACAGCCTTGTGAGTTTTCTCTTCTCCGGGCGATAGCGGGCGATATAACCGGGCGGGGGGGAGGGGGCGGGGGTCCAGAACGTCACGATTCGCACAGCGCTGCTTGGGAACGTCCTAAAATATCCACAAAGCTAGCTCGGAGGTCAGCACGGATCGGGGCGGCCAGGGCCGGTAATGGCCGCTATCGCGAAGCATAAAAAACCTTTCCTAGTCTTTTTCATGTATTTTTTCATGTATTTTCGTCATCCGCACTCCTTCCGGGGGCGTTCGGCGCTGCCCGCCCGCGCGCGCCGCAGGCATCGCTTGCGGGGCCAAGAAGGCGTCCGTGCGTGCCGCTGCCGCCTCGGAGGCGCTGGCGAGACTGGAGCGCCTCGCCTGCTGCGGGGGAGCCGCGTCTGGGGCGGCGGCGACGGCGGCGGCCGTGGCGACGACGACGGCCTCGGCTGCGACTATATTACGGCTGCTGCTGCCGATGCTCGCGCGCGCAGGATGTAGAGAAATATCCATCATGCAAATACAGTCAGTCCGCATAATAAGGATGGGCATCCTTCTCAAGGGTACCCTTGCATCCTTGCCCCTTCGGCCCATCCTTGGCCAGTGTCGCTGGCCGTGACCCGCTCGAAAAGCCTCGAAATGGCCTTCCAAGGCCCTTGCATCCTTATCGTGCGTCCTTATTATACGGGTTGACTGTATCCTCGATTTTGTATCGCCGTGGCTTTTTGGTGCAGGCGCTTGGGATGGCGCAGCCGCGGCCTCACGTGCTGACGCGTGGGATGCCGAGCCTCTGACAATTGCCTAGAGTACTTTGCCTTTGAGTCGACGTGCCAAGAGTTCGCGGCCGTGGCGACGACGGCGGCCTCGACTGCGACTACTGCTGTTGCGGCCACCAGTGCTGGAGATAACTGGCATCAGTGCTATGTAGCACTGTTGGCATTTTTGGTGTGAGTGTTCCTGCTGCTGGAGTTCGTGCTGCTGTTGGCGCAGGTACTGATGCTGCTGCTGCTGGTACCTCGACAGAGAGCAGCATAGGTTCATCGCTTCTGCATCATAGACGTCCACATATAGCTCCACATTTCACACACCGACTCTTAGTACCTCGAGGGGCACTTATGGCACAACACCCCGGTACTGCTCAGCCTCCGTCTCCAACACAACACCCAGTACCATGTGAGTTTGTACTGGGGTTGACCGTGGATTTTGGAATGCGTCCCTATCTTCCTCGTTTTACTGTTCTTGTATCGTTCAGCCTCCATGTTTACCTGCTTGCGTTTAACTTTGCCTGTTGCTTTCTTTCCCCTGTTCACTGTCTGCTTGACCATTTATCACTGTGCTTTCTGCCCTCACTGTGCTTTCTGCCCTCATTGTTTCCTCTTGAGGCGTGCCTGCTTAAACAGATGTCATTATTTCGTTCTCTTCCTGCGTCTTTGCTTTCTCAGAGTCTTTGGGCGCGCCTGGGATATTCGAAGCGAATGTTTGCACTATGTGCCGTCCATGGGGCGGATATTCGGTGATTTCTGTGGCCGCATCAGGTGGGCTGTGACCCACAGGTTCTCCCTTCGCTGTCTTCGCGTTTGTTTGTTTTCAGTGTTTATGTCTACACTTGGAGCAGAAGCATTGCACAAACCATCCACAACTATTAATGTTTGAACTTAGTCAGATGGGCAGAAATTCGGACCAGCCAAATCAGGTCTGCCTTTCTCCAGGCCAGTGGGAGGACATGGTCACAGCTCACGGACCCACGGCTTTGACACAGCGAGCACCTCGGGCAGGACGGGAAGGCACGTATGTGATGCATGAGCGTTCTGACTAGTATGGCGAGGAGGGGAAACACGATGCGAGTCATATTTGATTACGCAACGCCAGTATCTTCATCCATGACGCTCGGTACTGCTATTGCGTTGCTACTCGAGCTACTTTTCTCACCGTTGCTGCTGCTCCTACTGCAGCCTGCTTGTATTACTGCTGCTGCTGCTGCTTCAAGAACTACTACTCCGACGTCTACTCCTGCTACTACTGCTACTAATGCTACTACTACTGCTACTGCTGCTACTACTACTATTACTACTGCTACTACTATTGTTACTACTACTACTACTACTACTACTACTACTACTACTACTACTACTACTACTACTACTGCTACTACTGCTACTACTGTAGTAAGACTAGCAGTGAGACTAGCAGTAAGAGTGGTAGTAAGAGTAGTAGTACGAGTAGTCGTATTATTAGTATTCGTAGTAGTAGTAGCAGTAGTAGTAGTAGTAGTGGTGGTGGTAGTACGACTCGTGCTACTACTATTACGTTTACTAGTGCCACTGCTACCAACTACCATTACCTACTAGTCTACTAGTCTACTACTACTACTACTACTACTACTACTACTACTACTACTACTACTACTTTAGTAACACCTAGTAGTAGTAGTAGTAGTAGTAGTAGTAGTAGTAGTAGTAGTAGTAGTAGTAGTAGTAGTAGTAGTAGTAGTAGTAGTAGTAATAGTAGTAGTAGTAGTAGTAGTAGTAGTAGTAGTAGTAGTAGTAGTAGTAGTAGTAAGTCGTAGTCGTAGTCGTAGTAGTAGTAGTAGTCGTAGTAGTAGTAGTAGTAGTAGTAGTAGTAGTAGTAGTAGTACTACTACTACTATTACGAGTACATCAACTACTGCAGCATCTACTACTACCTCTGCTACTGCTACTCCTACTACTACCACTGCTACTCCTAGCACTACTACTACTACTACTGCTACTACTACTATTACGATTGCTACAAGTACTTTGACTACTGCTACTTACTACTACTAGTATTACGACTACTACTACTACTACTACTTCTGATACTACTCCTACTACTACTACTGTTACTACTACGACCACTACTGCATCTACTACTACTATTATTACAGCAACAACAACAACTACTACTACTACTAATACTACTCGTAATACTACTACTATTGTCATTACTACTACTACTACGCCTACTACTACTACTACTACTACTACTACTACTACTACTACTACTACTACTACTACTACTACTACTACTACTACTACTACTACTACTACTACTACTACTACTACTACTACTACTACTACTACTACTACTACTACTACTACTACTACTACTACTACTACTACTACTACTACGTACTACTACTACTACTACTACTACTACTACTACTACTACTACTACTACTACTACTAGTACTACTAGTACTACTAGTACTACTACTACTACTACTACTACTACTACTACTACTACTACTACTACTACTACTACTACTACTACTACTACTACTACTACTATTACTATGTGTACTACGACTGCGACTACTATTATGATCGCGATGTACTACTACCCGCTGCCCTACTCTCTAACAGTGTTTCTGTAGCGTAATCGACGGCATCGCCGACGACGGCCGACGGCGCGGCACGGCCCATCGGCGCGTCGGCGCGTCGGCAGGACGTGTCCGCTGCGCTGCCGTCGCGGGACGAGGCTCCGGGAGGGGGAGGTCCTTCTCTTCCTTCTTCGTGTCTTGTTTTTCCTCCCAGTCTTCCTCCCCTTGATCACTTTTCCATGATCATTCCTCCTCCCTGTCCAGTGTCCTGATGGTGATGGCCTGAGCGATCTGCGGGTGTTATTCGGAGGTTGATGGATATTCCGGTCCGCCCGTGTGTACGTACGAGCCCCATAGTTGCAAAAATTGCCATTTCCCCATCTTGCAGCGCTAGGCATGGTTCGTGAAGGGGTCTGTGAGGTTGTTTCGGGAATCAGTTTTCCCTCACATTCTTGTTCATTCCGTCTGCCCTGTTGGAACAAATGCGGCTATTGGTGTCAATTTTCAGCTCGAGAAGAGACGGGATGATGACGAGGAGGGATATGAGTTGGATGAGTCTGGTGATGATGGAGCAGCTGTTGGATAATGATGATGCTGGTTATATCTTATTCAAATTCTTTGTGGTGCTGAGGAGAACCAGGAGGAATACTGACGATCATGAGGAGGAATATGAGTAGCAGGGGCCTGGGTGAGGCGGCTCACACCCTCCGTCTCCGCCTTCAGGCTGCAGCAGGTGGGGGTGAATGGATTGGGTGGGCTCGAGTCCTGCGGACTCGATCCCTCTGGTGTCCTCGGTCGCTCTACCTGAAAATCCTCCGTACAAGCAAGATTCGAGCATGTCGGTTCAGCGGGGCCTTCTCTTAGCACGCTCATCCGCCATGCTGTTGCCTACGATCTCTCTTCGCTGCGCGCGGGCTTCATGAGCCTTCACATTACACAAGGGCACGCCAATCGTGCCAAGGCCGCCATTTGCCTCAATCGTGTGCCTGCTCCAGCCCAAACGGCCTGCCCGTCGGGAGCGGGCCGCGCGCGAGGCCGCCCAGCACGGCCCGGCAGTCGGTGTGGGTGTGGAGCGGCGGCGCGGCGACCACCAGGTCCCGCAGGACGGCTCACGCACTTGCCTTGACAATGGTCTGGTCCCCTTGTGCAGAGCCCTGAATCATCAGGGCTGGGGGCGGTCAGGGGTAACTGCAGATTCGCGCCTCGCGGGCCCAAACCGGAGTTACCCCAGACTGGAGTTATCGTGGGTACATCGGGCGTCCAAGCACTCCCGAATCATCGGGGCTAGGGGCGAGCAGGGGTAGCTGCTGATTCGCGCGTCGGGGGCCCAAACTGGAGTTACCCTGGACCAGAGTTATCCCGGATATCGCGGGCGTCCAAGTTGTTGGCCAGGCCTTGGGCCCGTAGGCCGCACACTTCGGTTCGCCGACCTGAGCACAGCTCCACCCCTCGTCGACGCAACGGCTGTAGGTTGCCGCAGAGGACGGAGGCTGCCGTCCGAATACACGTCGCCTGTGACGAATCCCAGCCAGTCGCCCTCGAACTGCACCTCGGACGACGACTGTAGGCTCCAGAGCCCCAAGTTTCCGGCAGGGTCCGACGCCAGGCCGCGCTCCCACAGCACTGTACTTGCATGTGCTGGCCAAGGATGGGCTCCCCGATGGCACATGTGACGGCCTCCCACTTTTGGCGGTGCGCCTCCCTCGTCTCGCACATCAGAGTCCATTTGGCGGTCGGTGCCTCTTGCAGGCAAGCAGACCTGGCAGGTGAGCGTCGGAGTTGCGCCCTTGGTGAATGGGTGCTCCTGTGGCCACATTCCTCCTGCCCATAGCACTCGTACTCGTGTCTGATGTTCACGGGTGCTTCGTCCTCGGATGGGGCAACGGAGAAGGGCTTGGACGGGCGCCGTGGGAGAAGGGCTTGGACGGACGCCGTGAACATGGAGGTCATGCCGCCTTTCTGTCCCCAGCGCGTCAGTCAAGCTCTCTGCAAAAAACCACGTGTGGACTGTCGCACCATGTGGTGCAGTCCGTACAGCGACACCACTCGCAGGCCCGTCTACCGTGACGGAGTGGGCGGTCTGCGCCATCCAGCCCCGACCGAACGCCGTCGCGACGAAGGCGCTGCAGGGGGGCCTGCCAGCTCACAAGGCACCCGTGCCAGCCCGATGCGAGCCGCCCGTTGCCACGACGCGTGCGGCAGGCGCTCTTGCAGCTCCTGGTCATCGGCCGCCTCCTGCCAGCCCTGCGCCCAGGGGACGTTCGGCCCCGCGTTGACGAGCACCCCTGGGGCCTGGGGTCCGCGTGGTCTTTCAGCAGGGTCAGGAAGGTGGCGCGGCCCGTGCCCGCTCCAGGCATGGCCATGGCCATGGCTCTGCCTCGGCTCGCCCAAGGCCTGATCGCTCATGCCCATGGCCTTGGGGTGCCCTGGCCCAGCGGCGGCACCCCTGGAGTGCCGCATGATCCTGTGCGCTGCTCGGCCCTGCCCTGCGACATCTGTTCGCTGGATCGTTTCGTGCTGCGAACTTGATCGCCCTCGTTCTGAAGACTCCAGCCCGCCGTCTGCGGCCCGCCGCGGTCGTGTCGCCTGGGTGCTTCGCTGGCCACCCGCCTCACTCCCATCGGTCGGCCCTTCCTGGCGCCTCGGCCAGATCTCAGAGGGGCGGTAGCCGCCATCGTGACTCTCTTCCCCTCCTTGCTTCGCGAGGCTGGCGTGTCCATCTCGTGCTCGAAAATGGTTCGGGGAAACGTAATGCTCGAGTGCTTGGGTTCGCCAGCGCTTTTTGACGATCCCGTCCTGGATTTTGATGGTCCAGTTTTCGTGGGTTGTTTGCAGCGGGAATTCGCGTCACATTTCAGCTTGGGTCTCGTCATTTTCATGATGGCCCCGCCAGGCTAACCCGAGTCCCCCGACCCCGAGTCTTACGCGTCCCCGAATGGTGATCACCGCCTCCAGGGGAGCTGCTCGACCAGCGCGTCGAGCTCCATGAAGATGACCATCTTGAAGTAGAAGGTGACGAACCGTGAGCAGGCCACGATCCTGCGCCTCAAGTGGCGCCCCTCGGTGTAGCAGCCGTCCAAGACGATGCTCGGTGCCTTCAAAACACGACGATTGGAGTCCCGCTTGAGCCCCGCTGGCCAGACAATGCCGTGGGCCACGTATTCGAAACACTTGACAAGGTCGAAGTACATCACGGCGTACTCATGTCCTTCCGAGATCACCGCCTCGCA